TTTAGTTTTAAGGCTCTACATGAAAAAAGACAGTGTTCGATTTAGTAATCCAGAGAAAAATTCTCAAACCTTTCTGAGTTTTTAGGCCACACCGCTTGTAGCCTCGGCGTTTGTGCTAAGTTATGCGCATGAGTCAGTCGGCATGCCTCCCTCAAACTCATTCAACTTTTCCTTCTTGACCTTTCATGTTTTAACCCTAATTTTCATCTGCAATCAGCTGATCACCTCATAATTCTCTATTAATTACATGCGCAATTTGATAAGGGGAGTTCAACGGACTCTCCGCGTCTCCATTACCATGCGACCTCATAAGGTCGAAATGCGCATCTTTATGAGAACGACGCCAATTTCTTCACCTTTTAATAATGTAATTGTCAGTGAACTTTTAGAGAAAGCAATAACCTGATCTACTTTGAGAGGTCAAATTTTTTTACCCATACACACAACCTTCCGGTGATAAATTTCCGCCCCTTTTTTTTATCAGATTTTAAATGCCTCTTTATCACCAGAACAGACCTCGGTGCGTCATGGTTTCGTTTAGAGAGGAAAGCAAAAAGCGAAAAAGAAAATGGAGATCTTTTTCAACGTCAACTCCTGCTCATATTTCGCGTGCGCGGGCGATTAACACCGCCCAAGGCGGAGCGGAAGCCACACGTCGCCTAGCGATCGATAGGCGCTCACCCCCACCGCACTCGCGTGCACGTACGAACGCACACAGGCATACGCGCGCACCGTGCCGTGTGAGGATGAGTCATGCGCGCCCACTTTGCGCCGTGTGCATTTACAGGCGGTGATTCACGTAGCCATGGCAACATAGAATGGGCTCATATGGCGGCGAGGGCGTCTTTTCTTGCCACGGTGTTGCAACTAAGGCAGCAGCAGCAGTAGAGGCGTTATTTATCTTCTACCTTGCCGACCGCAGTTATGGCTAGAGGGCCTTGTAAACACCGCTGCAGCACAATTCAAGGGCATTAAGGGAAGCCCACGCACCTAAATAGGGACTTTAACATATAGTTTTTCATCCCACGGACTTCTTAGCGTTTGAGAGTGATCTTTGCCGCTCCCCAGGGTCAGTTGTCTCCTATGAACGTCGTAACACCGTCAAGGGTTTATAACCATCCACGAGATATGAACGAAGATTGCGCTCCGCCTCTCAGCTTTGAGAAGGCATTTTATCTCATTCTCAGTGGTGCTGAATTGGAAGTTTTGGAGTCGTTCGGGTCTAGTGCCTAGTTATTTGTCGATTTCTGTCTTATGGATCACGGGGAAGTGCACCTTCAATAGTCTCTTCATTGCAAGCCTCGCACAACAGGCGGATAGGTTTATTGGAAGGTAAACCTTCTTTGACGCAGTTGTGAAAGTGATCATATTCATTAAAAGGAGCGATATACGCGAGGGATATCCCACCACACTGAGGCTACCTGATAAATAGGTCTGGACGACCAGAAGCAGGGATCTTCGCAACGAGGCGACTGAATGGCTTCGAGCAGCAGCGCATGCCATCACAACACCTTCTCTGGGAATGGTACCTCTGGGCCGTATTCAGCTATTGCCTGTAGCGCGATCCTTAGCGAAGTTAAGGGGAACATCAACATGAATGGTGAAAATAAAAGCTCCGTATTTGCCGGGATTAAAAGTCAAACCCCTTTAACTCCATTTTAGGCCTCAAATCGGATAATAAGCCGACACATTCACCCCTTCTTATTTGGCGGTTTCCCCTCATTTTGACATCAGTCTTCTTTATCTAGTCTACTGCAAAACCGCCTCAAAAAATCGCGCCAACTTTGATTAGTGTTGAAGCCTGACTCCCGCCATGATTGCCAAACGTATACGCTGGTGATTGTCAGGTAGTCACGTAGCTTCTTGCCGTTGATTGCTACCAGGAGGCCATTTAACTTTTCCTACACCATCATGCATGCCACCTAAGATTAAAGGTGGTAAAATGAGTGATTTTGACGTTTTTGAGGATAAAAGCCGGATAGCATTCGTTGCCCAATGGCATCCAGACTTCTGTCCCAATGAGACAAAGGCCTACAAATACCACCGATGTTAAGTCAAGCTCTATCCGTCTCTTTGAAGCCACTTACTTTGCTTGTCATTGTCTAATGCCAAACAGTGCCAGAAAAGTAGACAAGAAGGAGGGCAGCTTCTCCAAGCCCAACAAAATTTTCCCATTTAGCTGTGAGGTGTTGTGCCTCCACCAAAGAGTATAAAGAGGACCTGATGAAGGCCAATTCCTCCGCCCAGGGACTGCCTCCAAAGTAAGGAACAATCATCTGGAAATGAATGATTCAAAATAGACCTTGATGGTTGCCTTGACTCCCGTCCGTCATCCGGAGATGGGCTATCGCTTTCGCTCCACATCCCATTACCACTCTCTGCAAGGCTTTTGGGAATGAATGGATTGAAGTCCGGCATTTTTTTACATTCCAGTGGTCAAAAAATCTTCTGCAGTCAGTTGAATAAGCTCTAGGGAGAGATAAGAGATCAGGGGAACAAGAAATTAAGTTTTTCTATTTGGGCTACCTTAAGTGAGACCCCAGAGCACGGAGTTCTGAAATCTCTACCCCGTCTTCTTCATTTTACCCACAGACGGAATATTCCCTCATATTTTTTTGGATTTTTACCGGTTAACTTAGCCATTTTTGCCATTGTTGCAACCTACAGACAGCTCAAATTTGCATCAAATGGCACAATCACAGTTTGTGTGACTTTTTGTGTAAATTCCTTCAAAAAGTGCCAAAAAAGTCCCACGCAATTGGGCAGTCACAAATTTGCCTTTTAAGAGGCCATAAAAACCGGTGTAGTTGAAATATTTTCTCGTCTTTTGCCTTTCAGTGGCACAGAAGGCCATCGTGCCAGTCAGTAGTCGTCCCATCATCCCTGGCGGGCAAACGGATTCTATCACACCTCGTAGGGTAGATCAGGAGGTCTGTAAGCCCTTCAAGAATAGATTTCCCAGTGGCTTTGGTTGGGCACTACACGAAAATACCACCAAAGGGAAGGCATTTAAAGTGACTAGCCGAATCGTTGGAGGTAAACAGCAGAAGGGCTGTCAAAACAGCGTTAAGATTCGGCAAATTCCCCAATCTCAAGTCAGAAGTTTTGTCTGCAGAATGGAGCAAAGTTGTTTGGCTAAATACGGGCTCATTTGTACCGATAAAAGGCGCAAACGGGGCATCACACGAAATCCCTTGTATTTTCATTGGCTGTGTTTTATTAGATGTCATATGGTCACTTCCGTTTGGCGGTAGACCGGCTGTGTCTGCGACATCGCTTTAAAGCGGAGGGTAAAAATTCTCTCGCTGATTGGAGCTTGTGCCAATTGCAATATTTCAGACCATACATCGGTGTAGTTAAAGGTAGTATCTGAAGAAGTGGCTGTAAAGGACTACGTTCATCAAGGAAGGTAATTTGAGGTCCTGTGTAGGGATTTGATATTTTGTGTCTGTCTGTCTGTTAAATCAAGCCTATCCTTCAGTTCCTACAGGTTGTACATTCGTTGTGAGGCGTGGTGATGCTAGTAGCCTGTAGCTCCTTCCTGTTTTACCACAGGACTCTGACTTATTACGACTTAAGGGACTTAAGTGCTACATGGGTGACTATGGCAAGCGCATCCCATCCAAGTGGACAATATGCCCTCAGAAGCAGGCCATCCTCTGTGGATGGGTGGCCCTGCAAAGAGTATCAACAGCGACGTCTGGCCTTGGCAGTCATGCCAGCCTCGTGTTCTTCAGGAATGATACTAATAACTGAAGTTAAACTGGACTTGAACTCTTTGGAGGATTCACAACGGTGCTGTCTACAGTACTTCTCTATAGCGATGTTAACTGCTTGAACAGGCGATACCGCCATCGCGTCTCTTCTAGCTGGATGCTACCCGGACAGACGGCAGGCTAGGGGTCACTGAAATAAGAAGGAGGTAGAAATGAGGGATGAATGCAGGCTAAGCGTTGGCAACGAGAAATTAGCCAAAGGGAGAGCCAGGGACGAGGCTGAATGTAGTAGAGGGTCTGTGTAGTAATTCGTTAATATGTTTAATTGTATGATTAATTATACTGGCACTTCACTTCCTGCAGGTTGCGTTTCCCCTCCGCTGTACGTCAGTAAGTCGTTTGTTCTCATTTGACATATTACACCTTCAACGAGGACTTGGGACACCACAGTGGGCACTGCAAGAATTCGACAAACAAATTAGTTAAACCAGTTGGAAAAAAGTATGACATCTTTAAGTATTTATGCCTAGGTAAGGCGTAAATCTCTTCAAAATTATTTTAGTTAGTAACGAAAGATACTACTTTTTAATAATGAGCGTCGAAACCATCTTTTCATGAACGTCTGAGAGGTGCCTGTTTCAAATTGAAGCGACGTACAAACACCGCTTGACTACCCGATTGCAGGAATACACGACTGACTGGCTGACTGTCAGTCATTTGCCCCACTTTTTGCCGCATAGGTGTTATCACCGCCCGCGTTTCAGCTGAGAGGGTACCGTCCGAAATTTGTAAAACAAAAGGTGTGGAGGTGGGAAAGAAAGAAGCCAACAAACGGGGCCAAATGTCCCCTCCCCACTGGTCAACTGGTCAAAATCAGGTAAACCACACAACCAATCACAAACGTTCATTTATCGTAAATGTTGATTAATTCTTAAATATAAAAGAAAATTCGTGAACATTTAAGATCTTTAGACTGAAATGTCCGCTTTATCGCATGTCACATTTTTATCAGCGATATGAATGCCACCAACAAGTCAATTTTGAGGTAAAAGTGTGGCTTAAAAACTCAGGACGTAAAAAAAATAACTGAAGAGGACAAAAATGTTGGTTTGAAGGTCATACTAG